TTAAAGCACGAAATGGACTTTTCGTGAATGTCTTATCTGAGAGGTATGTACGGTCGCTAAAAGCGGCACAATTTAGGCTTTAGATGAAGAAAAAAAGAATGTGGTGAAGGCAGAAGTAGAAAAAGGAGGACGAGGGGAGATTACCTAAAATTGTGCTTATATACCAGTGAAACTTAATTCAGAAGTCGCATGAATGAGATCTCATTCAATCACTGTGGTGGTGCAGTGTGATATAGAGTAGGGCCATGAAGAGTTGGCAAAGTTCACTGGCATGAGTTACTTTCAGTAGTAAATAAGTCATTTCGGACTTTTGACCTGATTAGCATGGGAGAAATCCTTTTAAACTGCAAAAAGTTTGTGCGGATGAGCAGGTTTCATTTGTGTTCTGACGCAGGGTGTAGATCAAAAATAGCGCATTTCGGAATGATTCGGCTTTGAATTAGGTGCGCTATGAAGTTGAAATTGGTCAATAGAGATGGAATGCTACTTACTGGAACAGAGCCAAATAAGACAGAACGGGACAGGACATTGAACCATTGCCGGGGTTCGTAACCGCTTCCTGTGTGATTCAAGACCCCATATTCACAATTCCCGACCCAACTAGTTGCCCAAGCGGTGGATGTAGTTCACCGATTTTGTGTAGTTTCGGCATCAAGGGACTCGGTCAGTCCGTCAACGCAAGTTTTGTTGCTAATATTAGAACAACAGCTCATCTGGTCTGCGAAACTCCATTTTCTCCGATATCTTGACAGCGAAGATGTCAGGCGATAGATTACCACTTCACACGCAACTCTAAATTACCATGAAGGGAGATTTTAATGGTATTTACTTGCAAACGGAATAAATACCCATTTTTAATGTCAAAGTACTATTAAAGTTTTAGCTTTCAAGTGTTGGAAACGAGAACAAAAAATTGTTTCTCTTGCAATTTCACGTGTTTTAAAATGGATTGCGATAGGACATTCCCTTAAAAAAAACCTAAGTTACATGGCGTGATGATTTGAGAAGTTCATATCAAGGAGAACCTTTTCGGATGACTCAGTCGTATATCGCACGAATGCCAACATTTTTAGAGAAAATTTACATTGTTTTAGTATTTTTGGATGTCGTTCTGCTGCACCGGATTGCAGTTTTTTTAATTAATCAGTCCCGTGAGATGGGAAACAATAAATGCCACTTGGCGTCCGATACTTTACTCGATAAATGGGATGGGATGGGACTTTGTAATTAAAATTACCCAGTGGGATCTAAAGTGGGTAATCGGAAATGGTGACAGCCGTGCGAACTTCTGATATGTTCAGTTGAACCTAGTCAAATTTGGCAGGAATTATAGAGGCGAATGCTTCCAGTGACGCCACATTGAATCGAGGAAATGGTTTTTTCAAATCATACAATCTACAAAATGGGTATACGTTGGCGATTAAGTCGCTCACTACACTTATTTGGTCATCGCTTACGTTCCTAGGAAAATGGAAGCGGTCAGCAGGCAATGGTTGGATAGATTGGTCAGAGAATGGATGAATAAATGGATTCGTGAATGATGGATGCGCGAATGGACGAAGAAGTAAATATTTGGATTTACAGAGAATGAATGGACGAATAAATGTTTGGACAAGAAGATGGGGCGATTTATTTACTGAATTTACAGATGTAAGGTTTGATAGATGGGTAGTCACAGAAGAAACAGATAGATGAATGGGTAAGTTACCGAATCGTAGCTAGAATATACTCATTTACGGACGAATGAATTCCAGAGGATGCATGGATGTACGAACGAATGGAATCTGGAGAGGTGGATGGATAGACGGATGAAGTGATGAATGTTACGTAGGCGAGTGAAATGCCGGATGGAAGTTTAGTTGGATGAGCAAACGAACAGATGGAGAGTTCATGCATGAACGGATATGCGATTGAGTTGGGAAATGGTTGGATGAATGGGTACGCTTTCACATTGCCATGCAAATGTCTCATCATTTCTCTTCTTGATCAGAAGTTCATTTTAATGCACTCATTCATAATTGAGATGACCACTACAAAAGCCTTACAACCGGGAATTCCTAGAACGCTGTTCCGCATTTGTTGTCTTGTTTCAGCTAAAAGTTTGGCAACTTTAAAGTGGCACATCACTAGTGTATGAGTTTGAATACGCAATCAACTCTTCCCTTCGTTATGCTGAATGCCGTTACTGACAGCCGATCCCATCTTCAGAAAGAGTAGATGAGCTACAGTTGTGAATGATGTAGTGATCTTTTGGGGGCCTTCAGCTGTGAGATCGGAAGATTATGTATTGGCCCAGTGAGTATGTTCATGTTTGCATTTATTTAGGAGCAGGCGAAAGGGTCGGCTTACTCCCACATATATGGCACCGAAGGAGGTCTGGCGACTACTCTACCTCACCCGACCCCTCAATCCAAACACAATGCCTGCCACGGGCGAAGTAAAACTCGGCCATCTAGACATCGCGTGGCGCACCACCATGGGTGAAGCGGGCCATCTCCTAACCTTCCCCTGCGAGTCCAATGTAGGTCCCGTCACTTTGATATCTCTGTTCATAATCGTGACATTACTATTTTTAACTTCTTGGGTGTTTAAACTTTCGTTTATCGCACCTCTCCATGAGTGACGGTCTTTTTTCTCGAATTCTCGCTTCATCGTAGGCCAAATCTACCTCTTGAGAGCCTTTGCCTCCATCTTTTTGGTCTTTTGCTCCGATCCAATATTGACTTCGTCTTTAAAGATTCTACACACTCCTTTGTCTTACTAGCGATGGTTTCTCCGGTTGACTTCTCAGCACACCTGGAACTGAACCTCCTACCACATAACTTTGACATTTGAAGGTCTAAGACAGGCCTTTGTGGACTTATGCTTGAACTCGTACTGCATCCCTTATTGGACCCTTTTATCTATAAGTCAAAAGGGAGCTTATATCCTGTGCCTAAGAAACCGCGTTATCTTAGCACTAGATGTTAATGCATTTAGTCCTTTTTGCACTATGATTAAGACCCCAAAAGCAGTGATTGTAGGTGAATATCTCTTCTTGATAAGAAAATAGTGAGACTGGATCGTGTAGACCAGCGCTGCGACATTTGACGCATATCACTCGGTGCAAGTCGGATCTAGTGATTTTGCGACTTAAATCCGTGTGTAATTCATGACTATTCGTAAGATAATTAACTTTCCGCCTTTTCGTTGGCTCTGTTAAGGTGTTTCAGTTGAAAATTACCTTCGCCTCATGCAAATATCTGATTTTTTAAATGTTTCAAAGTCATCACCCTCAGCTCCTATTTTGTGATACTTCCAATGGGCTCTCAGAACACGTCACAAAGTGTTAGAGCTTCAAAATTATCAGAAAACTAGCATCGAATTCTTCAAAACAAAGAATGACCCCAGTATCTGGACAGAGTCACCCACCTCACACTGCTTGTTGAGAGGAATGTGAATATATGGGCTAAATGCTGTTTTTATTTAAAATTTGTAAGAAGATTATCCTAAGGCGAAAAGAGAGATGAATGGAAGGAAGGGCGAAAGGAAAGAGAGTTGAGATGCTAAGGACCGTTTCTTTCATGCTAGCAGCGAGTCGCGGCGATTTTGAGACTGGTAGATCCTTTTTAAGTGTTACTAGATCCATGTTAAAGCGAAAGGTAAAACAGTTATTGGCGGTAAAAACGCAGAATCTGTCAACTTTAAGTTGGTTTCAGGCACTTTTAATGCGTTTCAGCATAATTTCCGGTAGTTGGAGTGCCTGAACCACACTCTACAACATTGGATTTTTGTTTTACTACGAAAAGAATGTGTTCTGAAATGCTGGTGTACTTTTTCAAAGCACTTTGTCATCGTTTACATCAAGTGCTGCTTGGTGCATGTACTTTCACCGCTTTTCAACCATTTCACATCCACCCCTCCATTTTCCGCGCATTATTCTTAAGCATTGAGAATTTTGCCTTTGATTTCCAATGGGGTCCCAGGTAACAACGCTTGTTATCAGATGAATGGAAGAAGTTCACACTGTCATCGTTAGTGCTCGTGGTAATGACTGATTGGTACTTGTGAGAAGTTGAGGCAATGCATGCGAATTTAATATGCTTGAATCGGAATTCAACGATGCGCTTCTTACTATGATCCTATTTTTTCAAACTCCCATTTTACAAACTGATCAACTGAAATCTAACTAGTGTTCTTTATTGTATTCCCCACAACTTTTCAGCTATATAGAATCCTTAGGTCACAAAATTTCTGTTAAATATAACTGATACGAATCGACGCTGTCCGCCTTTGGACTGGCTTTAACACGATTCGTAGCATAGCAGACGGCGAAGGTGCAGCATGCGGTAGTATAACAGCGTACCACCCGGGAAAAACTAGTTTCAATAAATAGTTTGGCTCTGGCGGTACACTGCTCCAAGATGTATGCTGCATTCTGTTTAAAAAGACTCGCTTGATGATGGTAATGAAAAGTAGTGTGTCGTCACTGGAACGTTCTTCTTTGCGAGGATTGACAAGCGAGGGGTAACCTTTCTGAAGGCACTTTAGGCAATCGGTTTCTCTTCTACGTTAGCTGGAAGGAGGAGTTAGAGGAAGTTGTTAAGCTAGTCACTTCCATTCACATGCGTTGCATTGAGCGTTGGCATTTCCTTTAGATTTATTTGCCAGCTGACTAAATGACTTGTGATGGTAAACAGTTTGCGTGTGTATGTGTGTGGCGTTGGTTAATCGAATAAACACTGCATTGCTTTTCTTGAAAACAGTTAATTTACTTCCCGGACAGGCTTTTAAGGTACACACTGCATCATCTGCGCAAGACATGCGTGCTTTATGTTTGTATGTGCTCGGTGGACTTGAGATGGAATTGTTCCTCTGCCAAAGGTGGCATAATTGCGCAAAAGATCTCGATACAACTTGAATGTGCATGGGGGAGGAAAGCGATAAAGTAGCCGGTAGCAAGTAATCTCATGTCTTCTATGCGATAACACATGGTGTGCTACAGAACCGACCCGTAAGGAGATTTGCACATGTACATGTTTCTCCCAGGTCTAGTGCCATCTCTTGACTTTGCGTAATTCCATTCCCCTTTTTTGCTTTGTTCGTCGTAAGTTATTGCTTGTGAAAAGGGCTCCAGACACTCGGCAAATGGCCCCAAATAGCATCCCCTTCGGTGTTACCGTGGAGGTGATAAAATACCTTCTTTTTGATAACGCAATGCACTTTTATCCCCTTAAGTAAAAATAAATTGCTAAATTGTATAAATCTCCATTAGTCCCATTCCCTAAATGTGTGCATGTAGCTGTCAAATTGCCAAAACTACAAGACTACGTGATTGGGGCGACGTTAGCCGCAATGACAGTAATTCGTTGAAGGCAGGACAGGATCCTATGGCCTCGACCATCGTACTAGGACTGAATAAAGGAAAAATAATATCTTTGCTTTACTAAATGTACTTTCATGTAACTGTCCAGTCATAATTACCCATGTTTAATTTGCGGTTGAATGAAGTGTGAAATGTGTGCAACTGAAGTTCAGGCTAGCATCATTCTTGCCATTTCGTTGCAAAGGCTGGAGGACCAAAGTAGTTAAATGAAGTGTATATTTCAGCGACAATGCAATCTTCGACGGTAATGTATCTAAACCACGCATCTAGTAAGGGCATTTGACGAAGTTTATCGGTGTGAGAAGCTTCTTTTCTACCAAAAGTAGCATCGTCATGGAGGGCATTTGACTTAACATTCACGTGAAAAAAGCTCGGTATTGAAAAAGAAAACTGAGGTTCATCTTTTAACCTAAATACTTTTTCTTCGTTTCTTCGTTTTCGCTAGTCCCGTTCCCTATATATGCAGCTGAAATTCCCTTTGATTTGATGCCTTTCAATGCATCACGTGTTAGTCCACCATTTTAAAGCTAGAGATGGCTGTTGTGGTGTTGAAGAAAGACATGCGGAAAGTAATCTCTTCGATGCGCATGATCATGCATCATGTGGGATCAGTCCGTTTCCAGTCTATCAAATCACTGAGATTATTTATTAACATTGAGCGAATACTCTACTTGATTAAATTGTTGAGACATGCGATACTTCTGTATTGTGTCCAAAAGTGCGCTTTCTTTCGCTTTAATAATAAAGCAGAGGTGGCAATAATTGGACCCGCACTTTAACGTCAAAGGCGGAGGGAAAGTACAACCTATTTACAGCTTTGAGGTGACATGATTAATTGGTTATATGCTGGATATTAGCCTGAGCTGACGTGGCAGTATTGAAAATCACATGTAAGAAGACAGCGTTATTAGTAAAGGCTTCAGCAGAGCAATTTGGATTCATGGATGAAATAACTACCATGGGTTAGTGTTGCATGGTCTCTAGTTGCGTTACTAAGACGGATACGCAAACTACAGAGGTAGAAGTGTCACGTAGTTGAGTGCAAATTTAAACAAGCCTTAATTTTCCCCTGTGTTTTGAGCATCACCTCCAGGTGTTTCAGTGATTGCTCCTCTCCTTCGACCCTATCAAGTCTTCTAGTGTAACGTAATGAACTGGGAGACAAGACCGAAAGTGATATAATGAATTCACACCATTGGAAGAAGTGCTGCTCATTGGTGGTGCTACATGCTGCTGGTCTTGTTGGTAAACATCCTCACTGAGGCAAACGGCACTGTATGTCAATCGCATGTCGCAATAGCGGTGGCCTGAAGTCAAAAGCGGAAGTACAATAAGTATTTTTTGAGGTCACATGTCACTGTTTGGAAAATGATTTCTCCTCATCCTTAATTATTGTGTAGAGCTATAAACGGGGGATTCTGTAGCAAGTCCTCGGCAATTCAGTCAACCACAATGGACATCATCCTCCTGTAACACTCAGACTTAGTAATCAGTGTGATGACACCAAGTCTTTCTTCATTCCACCCAAGTTTGCTTATCACTACCGCCAATGTAACGCTTCGAAGCTCCTTCAACATCTCAGTGATTCGTACGTTGTAAAGTGTCTGTTTTGTACTCCACCTTCCATAGCTTGGCTTAATTTAGCTTCATCTGGCTTTTCAATCGACGTTTTAATGCAGAGACGTAAATAAGCCGATCTTGTGATCACGAGAACTGCACTCATTCAATTTGCCGGGGTTCAACGATGTCTGCGCTTACAAGAATGCAGATAGAGGCAGTGACAGCAATGCAGCAGCAGTAACTTAAACAACAGTAACAAAGAGAAAGGTGACAAAAAAGGAATGCTAACATACAAAGTGAGCACTATTTACCGCCAGAAATATAAAGCATCCATGACGCGCTAAACAATTGTTGTGAAATTTGCATTGGGGTGAGATATTTGCCTTAGGATAATTTAGATTAGAAGAGCAAGAAATCGCAAGGATCCCCGATGTCACTGATGCGTTTCCACACACAGCGCAGGCCTTCTGGTTGGGTTTTCCCATCTCATTATTTCTGCTTTTCCACGCTTTTAGCGAACCCACTGTTGGATTTCTAGAAAGCGCGATCAAAAATGTTATCCAAGACTAAAATAGCACACTTCTCGTGTGTTTGAGACGAGATGAAATGCCTGTGCATTGGATCAAGATTCTCATATGTGATCTGAAATTCTCCTTTACCAGACTGTCTGATCTGATCGGTTTGCACGAGTGCGTTCCAATAGTAGGATATGGAGAAGTAGACCAGTCGCCTCATCTGACTGATGGATGTTCAGTGTTGAGGAACACGAAAGACTGGCAGTTTTTTTTGCAAAGTACATTTTTGTGAGCAATTATCAATTATTGTTGAATTCAGAACTAAAACTAATCGACATGTGTGTAAGATGGTTTGGTTTAAAATACCCAAAGCCATTAAAACAAACAGAAATCACGCAATGTAGGGAGCAAGGGCAGGGGGAGGAGGCGGACCTGGTCCAATCTCTACGTCTAACACGAAATTTTCATACCTCTTAAACGCGCCTCTTCTACAAAGGCATGGATGAGTGAAAGTTAGTATTCACATTACTTCTGAAAATGCGTTCTAGCGTGATTGGTCAATTACTCAAGAGGGCTCAACTGCTTACGCAGTACAACCACATCACACAATGATAGATGATTTGAAAGGCCATTTTTAACCTTCATTCATAAGAAATCATGTGAGAAGCCGGAGTGAGTTATAATAAAGGCTTCAATTAAAGCTGGTGCACTTCATCCAAGATGCAAAAATAATCACAATCACCACCGGAGCTACAATCATCAATTGTGGTGCGATATTTTGGAACATTTTTTCAATTATATTTAGACACCGCATTACTCCGATGTCTCCATGAGTGTCATCAAACTTCCAACACAGGTCGTCGTCGAAGAGCCCTTCCAAATGGTCTGCGAAGTCACAAATAGAAGGTTGGCTCACTATCGTCTTGGTGTGACTCTTAACTTTACCTCTTCTCATTCCTTTGACCGTCGTCCTCTTCAGTTCGCGCGCACTGGAACTCCTGCTCTCTCGACCAGAGACAGCCACAACACCGTCTACGGCTATAACGACAACAACGGCGACAATCAATGGTTCTGAGACGGCTTCCACTACCACTACAGCTGCTGCTACCGCAGCAGCCTTCCCAGCCTTCATTTGGACAGGAGTAACTCACCAACGTCTAGAGAATCTGGCGCCTGCAGCCTCGACCCGACTGAGCTTCGAATTCGTTCCTGTCATGACTGGACTGCAGGTGCGTCCACTCTTCTAAGTGCTTTTGCCACCCCGCTTAGGGCCGGTAGTTGTGTGGAGGAGAGAAAACGGTAGTTTTCTAGTGTTCTCTTAGGGAAGAACGCCCCTGCTAAACGAAAGCAAGTTGAGCAGCGACGGAGCAGTAAGCCGAGATGTGATATGCATTTGGGTTCTTGTATAAATTCCAATGCCAAACTGCGGTCACGTGGACAGCACGAATGATGAGCGGTGGCCAAGGCATTTTTGTCTTATGTTAGAATTGATCTAAAGTGGAACGCAGACGGAGGCACGGCTAGTGGAAGGAAGTAAATCCACCACTTTGAAGCAGTGTGTGAGTCCAGTCCACAAGTAAAGGGGGAGAACACCGCAACTGCTCTGTTTGGTGGATTGAGGCAGCCTAGTGGCATGGAGGCTAGCAGTTTGCTGGCCATGTCTTGCATTCACAAATGCCTGCGAATTGACTATGGGCTGGAGAAGTCCTACTGAAGCAGCGATGTTGCATAGCTTTTGGAAGCAGCTTTTGTACGTCAATGATATACCACCTCGATGGGTGATATGGGAGTATCTTCAAGTCGAGGACATACCTAGTGTTTATGAGTCGCATTTTTGTCGAAAAAAAGCCTGCACTTGAGGCTTGAGAGGGAATTTGGGTCAAAGTAGTGGCAGCTCCCTTTGGAGGTGTAGATATGGTAAAATCGTTGGTCAGTTTAGTATGAGGCAGTGTTGGGATGTCGTTGTGGGGCTAGTGCAAGGGTGCAGACTGAGAGCTGTGTGCGCTAGTGTATCCACCGTTGCTACTGATTTGAAGGCACGTTGGTAGTCTAAAATGCTTCGTACTGGTGAAACAAATCTCAGAGACTAGCTGCGCGGCTCGTAACTGATCTGTAATTAAATGATGAAGATGACCCCGAGAGACAAACTGAGCTTAAATTGTGAAAATGTTACGGAAGTGCATTTCAGGCAATGGATAGTATAGCCGAACTCCTTCGTGCGCACATTATAGTGAACGGGGGACTCGATGATGATGAGAATCTGACGTGTGTTCTCATTGTGAGTCGATAGTACGGTCTACTGCAGTGTAAGATGCCTAGACGACTGATAATGATACATCATAAGCGTTCTCGTGAATGGATGAATTTGTCTCCTTCAAAACACGTGTAAAACAGCCGCAGTGGCAACGGTAACATCGACAGCATCAGGAGCGTCAGCAATAGCATGGTGTGATCTGGCAGCCACTCTAAAAGCGTTGGGTGAATTGAAAGAGATACAAGGAGGAGGCAAATCAGTGGCGTTGAGGCTTCACTTCGCTTCTTTGCAGTCAAGGTGACTCAAAGGCAAGCAATTTTCCATACTGTTACATAGTTGGCGACGATGAACGTAGACAGCTTACGGAAAATGTGCGATAAGGTTGTGAATAGGCCGAGAACGCTGGTCAACTGCTGTGGGAAGTTGAGAATTGGCCACGCAACCAGGGCTGCCAGACTGCGGATGCAGCTTTCTCTTCTCATTATCCGCTTCATCTGGTTAGTTAAGCGTACAGCGGATACACACTCATTGAGACCGTTTGGATGAAGTGGGCATCATCAGCCATTGTACAGACAAGGCAGTTTGTCAATGATGAGGTGTATGGGCTAGGTAAACATTCAGCCACTACAATTATGTTTCCTAAATTTCTTGCTGCACTTGGACTTGTATCCACCTATTGACTGCCGCAAGCCAGCACAGGAGGTTTTTTATTTGCCCGAACATGTGCTACTACCTGTGTGACCTGACCTGCATGGTTAATCTGTACGAGAGGCGAGTGAAATGCATATATAGTAATAATGGGTCCTAAAAGCCCTTTCTCCTTTCTTTCTACCGCTCTCGCCCGCCTCGATGAAGGAGGTGCCACCGTTTGAGCTGAGAGAGGTCTCCACGGAGGGCCGCTTCACATTCAGCAATTTGGGTTGGATTCTCGTAACCAGTGCTCCTGCCGCCTGATTAACATGTTTACTACCTCTTCTCCTTCCTTCTTACCTCCTACTCCCTCCTTCTCATCTTCATCATTATCCTCATCTCATTTCTTCTCCAACCCTTGTTATGACCCATTGTCTCAAAATTTTCAGTACAAAATTCGACTCAACGTGTTTTTTTTCGTTCAGAAGGTCAAAGGCAAATTTAGGTTGCCTTCTATAGCCGCTCAAGTAGTTGTTAAAAGCGCATTCTGCCAAGTGGATGCTTGACATAACCATTTGATCCGAAGACCATTAAACCATTCTGATTGGAGTGAGGTATTAAAGATGCATTTACTTCAAGTTGGATTCCAGTTCTTAGTAATTCAGTGGAGTGTGGACACTTGTAATTCAAAGCAGGCTCGTTTGCTTTAGGAGGTATATTATGAAACATTTGCATCAAGGTTAAACAGTTCTTTCCACAAGATGCAGTGATGTCGCTCAAACTTGTTAGGGAGATCGAAGAAGATATCTGAACACATGATTTGCTTTGACATCAGTGCACTTTTCCAGATCATACCTTTTAACCTCGTGGATGTGAGGTTCAGGTCGTACTGCAGCATCGTCATCCACGTATTGTAAATGACCAAGGGTTTGGTGAAGTGCAATGCCACAGCCATGTTGTGCACATGGTAGTAGCTCTATGCGCCTTCCAAAGAGTGGATTGTGTCGCTTTTGGTGACTGTGCATGCCTCTCAGATGAGGCATTCACAAAAGTCCATTTCGTGTTTTAGCGAGGGGAGATTACCTAAAATTGTGCTTATATACCAGTGAAACTTAATTCAGAAGTCGCATGAATGAGATCTCATTCAATCACTGTGGTGGTGCAGTGTGATATAGAGTAGGGCCATGAAGAGTTGGCAAAGTTCACTGGCATGAGTTACTTTCAGTAGTAAATAAGTCATTTCGGACTTTTGACCTGATTAGCATGGGAGAAATCCTTTTAAACTGCAAAAAGTTTGTGCGGATGAGCAGGTTTCATTTGTGTTCTGACGCAGGGTGTAGATCAAAAATAGCGCATTTCGGAATGATTCGGCTTTGAATTAGGTGCGCTATGAAGTTGAAATTGGTCAATAGAGATGGAATGCTACTTACTGGAACAGAGCCAAATAAGACAGAACGGGACAGGACATTGAACCATTGCCGGGGTTCGTAACCGCTTCCTGTGTGATTCAAGACCCCATATTCACAATTCCCGACCCAACTAGTTGCCCAAGCGGTGGATGTAGTTCACCGATTTTGTGTAGTTTCGGCATCAAGGGACTCGGTCAGTCCGTCAACGCAAGTTTTGTTGCTAATATTAGAACAACAGCTCATCTGGTCTGCGAAACTCCATTTTCTCCGATATCTTGACAGCGAAGATGTCAGGCGATAGATTACCACTTCACACGCAACTCTAAATTACCATGAAGGGAGATTTTAATGGTATTTACTTGCAAACGGAATAAATACCCATTTTTAATGTCAAAGTACTATTAAAGTTTTAGCTTTCAAGTGTTGGAAACGAGAACAAAAAATTGTTTCTCTTGCAATTTCACGTGTTTTAAAATGGATTGCGATAGGACATTCCCTTAAAAAAAACCTAAGTTACATGGCGTGATGATTTGAGAAGTTCATATCAAGGAGAACCTTTTCGGATGACTCAGTCGTATATCGCACGAATGCCAACATTTTTAGAGAAAATTTACATTGTTTTAGTATTTTTGGATGTCGTTCTGCTGCACCGGATTGCAGTTTTTTTAATTAATCAGTCCCGTGAGATGGGAAACAATAAATGCCACTTGGCGTCCGATACTTTACTCGATAAATGGGATGGGATGGGACTTTGTAATTAAAATTACCCAGTGGGATCTAAAGTGGGTAATCGGAAATGGTGACAGCCGTGCGAACTTCTGATATGTTCAGTTGAACCTAGTCAAATTTGGCAGGAATTATAGAGGCGAATGCTTCCAGTGACGCCACATTGAATCGAGGAAATGGTTTTTTCAAATCATACAATCTACAAAATGGGTATACGTTGGCGATTAAGTCGCTCACTACACTTATTTGGTCATCGCTTACGTTCCTAGGAAAATGGAAGCGGTCAGCAGGCAATGGTTGGATAGATTGGTCAGAGAATGGATGAATAAATGGATTCGTGAATGATGGATGCGCGAATGGACGAAGAAGTAAATATTTGGATTTACAGAGAATGAATGGACGAATAAATGTTTGGACAAGAAGATGGGGCGATTTATTTACTGAATTTACAGATGTAAGGTTTGATAGATGGGTAGTCACAGAAGAAACAGATAGATGAATGGGTAAGTTACCGAATCGTAGCTAGAATATACTCATTTACGGACGAATGAATTCCAGAGGATGCATGGATGTACGAACGAATGGAATCTGGAGAGGTGGATGGATAGACGGATGAAGTGATGAATGTTACGTAGGCGAGTGAAATGCCGGATGGAAGTTTAGTTGGATGAGCAAACGAACAGATGGAGAGTTCATGCATGAACGGATATGCGATTGAGTTGGGAAATGGTTGGATGAATGGGTACGCTTTCACATTGCCATGCAAATGTCTCATCATTTCTCTTCTTGATCAGAAGTTCATTTTAATGCACTCATTCATAATTGAGATGACCACTACAAAAGCCTTACAACCGGGAATTCCTAGAACGCTGTTCCGCATTTGTTGTCTTGTTTCAGCTAAAAGTTTGGCAACTTTAAAGTGGCACATCACTAGTGTATGAGTTTGAATACGCAATCAACTCTTCCCTTCGTTATGCTGAATGCCGTTACTGACAGCCGATCCCATCTTCAGAAAGAGTAGATGAGCTACAGTTGTGAATGATGTAGTGATCTTTTGGGGGCCTTCAGCTGTGAGATCGGAAGATTATGTATTGGCCCAGTGAGTATGTTCATGTTTGCATTTATTTAGGAGCAGGCGAAAGGGTCGGCTTACTCCCACATATATGGCACCGAAGGAGGTCTGGCGACTACTCTACCTCACCCGACCCCTCAATCCAAACACAATGCCTGCCACGGGCGAAGTAAAACTCGGCCATCTAGACATCGCGTGGCGCACCACCATGGGTGAAGCGGGCCATCTCCTAACCTTCCCCTGCGAGTCCAATGTAGGTCCCGTCACTTTGATATCTCTGTTCATAATCGTGACATTACTATTTTTAACTTCTTGGGTGTTTAAACTTTCGTTTATCGCACCTCTCCATGAGTGACGGTCTTTTTTCTCGAATTCTCGCTTCATCGTAGGCCAAATCTACCTCTTGAGAGCCTTTGCCTCCATCTTTTTGGTCTTTTGCTCCGATCCAATATTGACTTCGTCTTTAAAGATTCTACACACTCCTTTGTCTTACTAGCGATGGTTTCTCCGGTTGACTTCTCAGCACACCTGGAACTGAACCTCCTACCACATAACTTTGACATTTGAAGGTCTAAGACAGGCCTTTGTGGACTTATGCTTGAACTCGTACTGCATCCCTTATTGGACCCTTTTATCTATAAGTCAAAAGGGAGCTTATATCCTGTGCCTAAGAAACCGCGTTATCTTAGCACTAGATGTTAATGCATTTAGTCCTTTTTGCACTATGATTAAGACCCCAAAAGCAGTGATTGTAGGTGAATATCTCTTCTTGATAAGAAAATAGTGAGACTGGATCGTGTAGACCAGCGCTGCGACATTTGACGCATATCACTCGGTGCAAGTCGGATCTAGTGATTTTGCGACTTAAATCCGTGTGTAATTCATGACTATTCGTAAGATAATTAACTTTCCGCCTTTTCGTTGGCTCTGTTAAGGTGTTTCAGTTGAAAATTACCTTCGCCTCATGCAAATATCTGATTTTTTAAATGTTTCAAAGTCATCACCCTCAGCTCCTATTTTGTGATACTTCCAATGGGCTCTCAGAACACGTCACAAAGTGTTAGAGCTTCAAAATTATCAGAAAACTAGCATCGAATTCTTCAAAACAAAGAATGACCCCAGTATCTGGACAGAGTCACCCACCTCACACTGCTTGTTGAGAGGAATGTGAATATATGGGCTAAATGCTGTTTTTATTTAAAATTTGTAAGAAGATTATCCTAAGGCGAAAAGAGAGATGAATGGAAGGAAGGGCGAAAGGAAAGAGAGTTGAGATGCTAAGGACCGTTTCTTTCATGCTAGCAGCGAGTCGCGGCGATTTTGAGACTGGTAGATCCTTTTTAAGTGTTACTAGATCCATGTTAAAGCGAAAGGTAAAACAGTTATTGGCGGTAAAAACGCAGAATCTGTCAACTTTAAGTTGGTTTCAGGCACTTTTAATGCGTTTCAGCATAATTTCCGGTAGTTGGAGTGCCTGAACCACACTCTACAACATTGGATTTTTGTTTTACTACGAAAAGAATGTGTTCTGAAATGCTGGTGTACTTTTTCAAAGCACTTTGTCATCGTTTACATCAAGTGCTGCTTGGTGCATGTACTTTCACCGCTTTTCAACCATTTCACATCCACCCCTCCATTTTCCGCGCATTATTCTTAAGCATTGAGAATTTTGCCTTTGATTTCCAATGGGGTCCCAGGTAACAACGCTTGTTATCAGATGAATGGAAGAAGTTCACACTGTCATCGTTAGTGCTCGTGGTAATGACTGATTGGTACTTGTGAGAAGTTGAGGCAATGCATGCGAATTTAATATGCTTGAATCGGAATTCAACGATGCGCTTCTTACTATGATCCTATTTTTTCAAACTCCCATTTTACAAACTGATCAACTGAAATCTAACTAGTGTTCTTTATTGTATTCCCCACAACTTTTCAGCTATATAGAATCCTTAGGTCACAAAATTTCTGTTAAATATAACTGATACGAATCGACGCTGTCCGCCTTTGGACTGGCTTTAACACGATTCGTAGCATAGCAGACGGCGAAGGTGCAGCATGCGGTAGTATAACAGCGTACCACCCGGGAAAAACTAGTTTCAATAAATAGTTTGGCTCTGGCGGTACACTGCTCCAAGATGTATGCTGCATTCTGTTTAAAAAGACTCGCTTGATGATGGTAATGAAAAGTAGTGTGTCGTCACTGGAACGTTCTTCTTTGCGAGGATTGACAAGCGAGGGGTAACCTTTCTGAAGGCACTTTAGGCAATCGGTTTCTCTTCTACGTTAGCTGGAAGGAGGAGTTAGAGGAAGTTGTTAAGCTAGTCACTTCCATTCACATGCGTTGCATTGAGCGTTGGCATTTCCTTTAGATTTATTTGCCAGCTGACTAAATGACTTGTGATGGTAAACAGTTTGCGTGTGTATGTGTGTGGCGTTGGTTAATCGAATAAACACTGCATTGCTTTTCTTGAAAACAGTTAATTTACTTCCCGGACAGGCTTTTAAGGTACACACTGCATCATCTGCGCAAGACATGCGTGCTTTATGTTTGTATGTGCTCGGTGGACTTGAGATGGAATTGTTCCTCTGCCAAAGGTGGCATAATTGCGCAAAAGATCTCGATACAACTTGAATGTGCATGGGGGAGGAAAGCGATAAAGTAGCCGGTAGCAAGTAATCTCATGTCTTCTATGCGATAACACATGGTGTGCTACAGAACCGACCCGTAAGGAGATTTGCACATGTACATGTTTCTCCCAGGTCTAGTGCCATCTCTTGACTTTGCGTAATTCCATTCCCCTTTTTTGCTTTGTTCGTCGTAAGTTATTGCTTGTGAAAAGGGCTCCAGACACTCGGCAAATGGCCCCAAATAGCATCCCCTTCGGTGTTACCGTGGAGGTGATAAAATACCTTCTTTTTGATAACGCAATGCACTTTTATCCCCTTAAGTAAAAATAAATTGCTAAATTGTATAAATCTCCATTAGTCCCATTCCCTAAATGTGTGCATGTAGCTGTCAAATTGCCAAAACTACAAGACTACGTGATTGGGGCGACGTTAGCCGCAATGACAGTAATTCGTTGAAGGCAGGACAGGATCCTATGGCCTCGACCATCGTACTAGGACTGAATAAAGGAAAAATAATATCTTTGCTTTACTAAATGTACTTTCATGTAACTGTCCAGTCATAATTACCCATGTTTAATTTGCGGTTGAATGAAGTGTGAAATGTGTGCAACTGAAGTTCAGGCTAGCATCATTCTTGCCATTTCGTTGCAAAGGCTGGAGGACCAAAGTAGTTAAATGAAGTGTATATTTCAGCGACAATGCAATCTTCGACGGTAATGTATCTAAACCACGCATCTAGTAAGGGCATTTGACGAAGTTTATCGGTGTGAGAAGCTTCTTTTCTACCAAAAGTAGCATCGTCATGGAGGGCATTTGACTTAACATTCACGTGAAAAAAGCTCGGTATTGAAAAAGAAAACTGAGGTTCATCTTTTAACCTAAATACTTTTTCTTCGTTTCTTCGTTTTCGCTAGTCCCGTTCCCTATATATGCAGCTGAAATTCCCTTTGATTTGATGCCTTTCAATGCATCACGTGTTAGTCCACCATTTTAAAGCTAGAGATGGCTGTTGTGGTGTTGAAGAAAGACATGCGGAAAGTAATCTCTTCGATGCGCATGATCATGCATCATGTGGGATCAGTCCGTTTCCAGTCTATCAAATCACTGAGATTATTTATTAACATTGAGCGAATACTCTACTTGATTAAATTGTTGAGACATGCGATACTTCTGTATTGTGTCCAAAAGTGCGCTTTCTTTCGCTTTAATAATAAAGCAGAGGTGGCAATAATTGGACCCGCACTTTAACGTCAAAGGCGGAGGGAAAGTACAACCTATTTACAGCTTTGAGGTGACATGATTAATTGGTTATATGCTGGATATTAGCCTGAGCTGACGTGGCAGTATTGAAAATCACATGTAAGAAGACAGCGTTATTAGTAAAGGCTTCAGCAGAGCAATTTGGATTCATGGATGAAATAACTACCATGGGTTAGTGTTGCATGGTCTCTAGTTGCGTTACTAAGACGGATACGCAAACTACAGAGGTAGAAGTGTCACGTAGTTGAGTGCAAATTTAAACAAGCCTTAATTTTCCCCTGTGTTTTGAGCATCACCTCCAGGTGTTTCAGTGATTGCTCCTCTCCTTCGACCCTATCAAGTCTTCTAGTGTAACGTAATGAACTGGGAGACAAGACCGAAAGTGATATAATGAATTCACACCATTGGAAGAAGTGCTGCTCATTGGTGGTGCTACATGCTGCTGGTCTTGTTGGTAAACATCCTCACTGAGGCAAACGGCACTGTATGTCAATCGCATGTCGCAATAGCGGTGGCCTGAAGTCAAAAGCGGAAGTACAATAAGTATTTTTTGAGGTCACATGTCACTGTTTGGAAAATGATTTCTCCTCATCCTTAATTATTGTGTAGAGCTATAAACGGGGGATTCTGTAGCAAGTCCTCGGCAATTCAGTCAACCACAATGGACATCATCCTCCTGTAACACTCAGACTTAGTAATCAGTGTGATGACACCAAGTCTTTCTTCATTCCACCCAAGTTTGCTTATCACTACCGCCAATGTAACGCTTCGAAGCTCCTTCAACATCTCAGTGATTCGTACGTTGTAAAGTGTCTGTTTTGTACTCCACCTTCCATAGCTTGGCTTAATTTAGCTTCATCTGGCTTTTCAATCGACGTTTTAATGCAGAGACGTAAATAAGCCGATCTTGTGATCACGAGAACTGCACTCATTCAATTTGCCGGGGTTCAACGATGTCTGCGCTTACAAGAATGCAGATAGAGGCAGTGACAGCAATGCAGCAGCAGTAACTTAAACAACAGTAACAAAGAGAAAGGTGACAAAAAAGGAATGCTAACATACAAAGTGAGCACTATTTACCGCCAGAAATATAAAGCATCCATGACGCGCTAAACAATTGTTGTGAAATTTGCATTGGGGTGAGATATTTGCCTTAGGATAATTTAGATTAGAAGAGCAAGAAATCGCAAGGATCCCCGATGTCACTGATGCGTTTCCACACACAGCGCAGGCCTTCTGGTTGGGTTTTCCCATCTCATTATTTCTGCTTTTCCACGCTTTTAGCGAACCCACTGTTGGATTTCTAGAAAGCGCGATCAAAAATGTTATCCAAGACTAAAATAGCACACTTCTCGTGTGTTTGAGACGAGATGAAATGCCTGTGCATTGGATCAAGATTCTCATATGTGATCTGAAATTCTCCTTTACCAGACTGTCTGATCTGATCGGTTTGCACGAGTGCGTTCCAATAGTAGGATATGGAGAAGTAGACCAGTCGCCTCATCTGACTGATGGATGTTCAGTGTTGAGGAACACGAAAGACTGGCAGTTTTTTTTGCAAAGTACATTTTTGTGAGCAATTATCAATTATTGTTGAATTCAGAACTAAAACTAATCGACATGTGTGTAAGATGGTTTGGTTTAAAATACCCAAAGCCATTAAAACAAACAGAAATCACGCAATGTAGGGAGCAAGGGCAGGGGGAGGAGGCGGACCTGGTCCAATCTCTACGTCTAACACGAAATTTTCATACCTCTTAAACGCGCCTCTTCTACAAAGGCATGGATGAGTGAAAGTTAGTATTCACATTACTTCTGAAAATGCGTTCTAGCGTGATTGGTCAATTACTCAAGAGGGCTCAACTGCTTACGCAGTACAACCACATCACACAATGATAGATGATTTGAAAGGCCATTTTTAACCTTCATTCATAAGAAATCATGTGAGAAGCCGGAGTGAGTTATAATAAAGGCTTCAATTAAAGCTGGTGCACTTCATCCAAGATGCAAAAATAATCACAATCACCACCGGAGCTACAATCATCAATTGTGGTGCGATATTTTGGAACATTTTTTCAATTATATTTAGACACCGCATTACTCCGATGTCTCCATGAGTGTCATCAAACTTCCAACACAGGTCGTCGTCGAAGAGCCCTTCCAAATGGTCTGCGAAGTCACAAATAGAAGGTTGGCTCACTATCGTCTTGGTGTGACTCTTAACTTTACCTCTTCTCATTCCTTTGACCGTCGTCCTCTTCAGTTCGCGCGCACTGGAACTCCTGCTCTCTCGACCAGAGACAGCCACAACACCGTCTACGGCTATAACGACAACAACGGCGACAATCAATGGTTCTGAGACGGCTTCCACTACCACTACAGCTGCTGCTACCGCAGCAGCCTTCCCAGCCTTCATTTGGACAGGAGTAACTCACCAACGTCTAGAGAATCTGGCGCCTGCAGCCTCGACCCGACTGAGCTTCGAATTCGTTCCTGTCATGACTGGACTGCAGGTGCGTCCACTCTTCTAAGTGCTTTTGCCACCCCGCTTAGGGCCGGTAGTTGTGTGGAGGAGAGAAAACGGTAGTTTTCTAGTGTTCTCTTAGGGAAGAACGCCCCTGCTAAACGAAAGCAAGTTGAGCAGCGACGGAGCAGTAAGCCGAGATGTGATATGCATTTGGGTTCTTGTATAAATTCCAATGCCAAACTGCGGTCACGTGGACAGCACGAATGATGAGCGGTGGCCAAGGCATTTTTGTCTTATGTTAGAATTGATCTAAAGTGGAACGCAGACGGAGGCACGGCTAGTGGAAGGAAGTAAATCCACCACTTTGAAGCAGTGTGTGAGTCCAGTCCACAAGTAAAGGGGGAGAACACCGCAACTGCTCTGTTTGGTGGATTGAGGCAGCCTAGTGGCATGGAGGCTAGCAGTTTGCTGGCCATGTCTTGCATTCACAAATGCCTGCGAATTGACTATGGGCTGGAGAAGTCCTACTGAAGCAGCGATGTTGCATAGCTTTTGGAAGCAGCTTTTGTACGTCAATGATATACCACCTCGATGGGTGATATGGGAGTATCTTCAAGTCGAGGACATACCTAGTGTTTATGAGTCGCATTTTTGTCGAAAAAAAGCCTGCACTTGAGGCTTGAGAGGGAATTTGGGTCAAAGTAGTGGCAGCTCCCTTTGGAGGTGTAGATATGGTAAAATCGTTGGTCAGTTTAGTATGAGGCAGTGTTGGGATGTCGTTGTGGGGCTAGTGCAAGGGTGCAGACTGAGAGCTGTGTGCGCTAGTGTATCCACCGTTGCTACTGATTTGAAGGCACGTTGGTAGTCTAAAATGCTTCGTACTGGTGAAACAAATCTCAGAGACTAGCTGCGCGGCTCGTAACTGATCTGTAATTAAATGATGAAGATGACCCCGAGAGACAAACTGAGCTTAAATTGTGAAAATGTTACGGAAGTGCATTTCAGGCAATGGATAGTATAGCCGAACTCCTTCGTGCGCACATTATAGTGAACGGGGGACTCGATGATGATGAGAATCTGACGTGTGTTCTCATTGTGAGTCGATAGTACGGTCTACTGCAGTGTAAGATGCCTAGACGACTGATAATGATACATCATAAGCGTTCTCGTGAATGGATGA